ATATACATATGTATGTATATAATATATATATATATATATGTATATATATATATACATATATTTATTTATTTATGTATATTTATAATAGAAGTATGTGCGCTCCATGCCATGCTACATGCCACAATAGCCTACGTCTTGATCCAAGCACTTCCGCCCCAATGGCTAATCCAGTGTCACCCCAGTCCCACGTACTCTTTAGATCCCAGGCCACTAGCAAGAAGGGGTGTAAATAGGATTGCTGTGTTGTTTTCCTCAAGGCTCCTTATGGAATATACTAGGAAAATACACGAACATCCAATGCGCTGAGGTGCGGCGTTGTAGACCGTCCGATCTGCCCGTTGGCGCTGAGAGAGCTCTTCGAGGAAGCTGAGCGCCTCTCGGATTTTGGATCTTAGTCTTGGATTTAGGGTTTGGGGTTCAGGGGTCAGGGTTTAGGGCTGAGAGCCTCGCGGATTGGGATTTGCCATCGGCTCATATGAAGATTTTTTGGCTTTGCTTGAACTCAACCCTAAACCCAAGAGTGCGTTTAGGATATAACGCTTTTGAACTCAACCCTGAACCCATGAATGCCCTAGTAGCCTCAGCTGAAGCCTGAAACCGAAAGGCACGCTTCGAGGTATCACAAGAAGATTTTGCTCTCCGGGTTGAGAAGGGGTCTCGCTGTTGTTTCGATTGCAGGAAGGCGGCAGCGGCCTTCACAAATGGAATAGCGTTCCGCTGACAATAAAAGGGGCCTGAATACATAGAGAAGGTTTGGGGCTGTATTATTGTAGACTTACAATCGGCACCCTAACTTTGGGCAATGTTAACAGTGTACGAGGCAACCGAAACCTTAGGTGTGGGTCCTAAGTACCTAATTATACGGCGGGAGACTGACCCAAATCGCAATGGCAAATCCTACCCGACTTTCTACGACGTAGGTATTGAGGACCCTTTGGGAACCCCCACTTGCCTGGAACGGCTTAAACGCCTCACATTGCGCACAGCCTTTAGGCCCAGAAGCCTTACAGCGATGAGTCCTGATAAGCCCCTGAGGTCTACTATGTGGGTACTATGGACCCTTTTGGGTTATTTAGGGTTTAGGCGGGGAGCGGCTAGGAGGAAACCTCGTGAAGATGAGAAGCCATACCTTTCGGGTCCGGGGTTAGGGTTTAGGGTTTACCTTAACCTACCAGAAAGTTGGAACATCATCATCCTCATGTCCTTGAGGTAGAGCAGAGGAAATCCAAGCTAGAAGCGTGTAGAATAGCAATACAAAAAAGTAGGTGTTGGTGGTTTCAGGTAATCCATAAACCCACGACCTACACTTTAAACCCAAAGAGCGGGCAGTGGTTTCGGGTCTCAAGGCCGAGCTCGGCTTCGTGCGTTTCGGGTTCAGGGTTTCAGCTGTTTAGGGTTTAGGGTTGATCGAGGGTTTAGGGTTTAGGGTTGAGGGTTTAGGGTTTAGGGCCTAAACCCTACCCCCTTTGGGGTTTAAGGTTTACGATTCGAGAGCAGATCGGCGGATTGATCATCGAATCCCAACTCTGCTGATCCAAAGACTCACATCCTACCTTCCAACTCCCTAAAGCCGTAAACAGTAAATCCAACGCACGAAGGTGCAAAGTAACAACCAAAGCTTGATGGCCCGCATAATTTGGGGGCCTTCATAACTCAGTAGAACAGGGTTTGGTGTTATAATATACTATATTATACTCTGATTGCAATAAGGAACCCAAAATGGTGCTGGTAATTATTTATTCCCCTAAAACAGGGCCTGGCCTGCTGCCATTCACCTCCAAGTTGACAGGCACTGATGGCAGCAGCATAGGTGACCTCGTTTCCTGCTACTGGTCCAGAGTTTAGGGTTTAGGGTAGGGCTCCCTAAACAGCAAACCTTCTAGGCCCTGCAAGCCCTAAGCAAGGATTTATTCAAGGGTTTTAAGGCTTACTGATTGAGTTGAGGGTTTACGCCCCGGGGCGGCTCTCTAGCTTTTTGCCTCTTGGGGCGCGGGGGTTTAGAGATTGGTTTCCGGAAGCAGCGAACTAAAATGGAAAGGGAGAAACAGCTGTTATAGGGTTGCTTTAGGGGTACCATCACAGGGTACTAGAGTCTTCTCAAGAGATTAGGAAGCGGCGGTGCCCTGGTCTACAAACATACTCTGCCGATGCTCTGCACTAACACTCCAAACCTCAAACCCTCAAAACCAGAACCTAAAAAGCCCTCCTCACAGCCCAAAAGATTGAAACTTTAAGCCGTCAAAGCCCTAAGCCCTATGCCTGAACCCTGGAAGCCCGAAGCCCATAACCCTGTGTCCTGCAAGTTGCAGCGAGCGCATTTCTGTCAGCAAGGACTTCGCACGCTGCCAGAGCCCTGCCTCGTCATTTCAATTGGTCTTAGGCTTCATGGATTGGTCTCGGGGGCTTAGGGTTTAGGTTTTAGGGATGAAGGTTTCGGGTTTAGGGAATGGACTTGAGGGTTTAGGATTTAGAAGGGGATTATGATTAAATGTTCTTTGCTCGCCGAGGCTTCGTGTTCAGAGAGGTTTCGAGGTTCGGATTTCGGGTTTTAGGATTTCGAGAATCTAGAGTTCAGGGTTCAGCAGGCAGCATGGAAGCAGCAATGCATCGCGCCGGAAACACCTACAGCTTCAACTCTAAACCCCAAGCCCTAAACCCCCTAAACCCTCTATCCTAAGCCGTATACACCCATGAACCCTGCACACCTCCCAAGGCAAGCCGGCCTTTGCAAGAGCCGAGATGACGGCGCTGTAAGTAACGACCTTGAAAAGCATCGACCGCGTAGGTTTGGGGTTTAGGGTTTCGGCTCGGGGCTTTCGGGCTTGGCTGGTCTCAGATTGGCGTGTACAGGATTAGGTGGGGAGCCGAATGAGGACACTACGACTTAGGGCTTTGAGCTTGGTGCCTGTGGGGTCTATGGGGTTTGGGGTGTAGCGTTTAGGGTCTAGGCTTTAGGGCTTCAGGGGCTTATGGGGATTATGGGGTGCATATCGTTTAGGGCTTGGGGCTCGTGTAGACCTTGCAGGGTTTGGGGTAGGGTTGAAATAAACAAAGAGAGATGGAGAGCGAGAGAGAAAGAGAGGGAGAGAGAGAGAGAGAGAAAAAAAAAAACAAAGCGAGACAGAGAGTTGCCATCAAAACGTATATCAACCCAAACACCTTGATATTGCCTTAGAACAAGTTGTCGGTGGTATAATTATTCAGACATATATCATAACGTATAGAAGGAACCCTTAGGAAAAGCTGTGAATACACCCTAATAAACTCCTCTACCCCAGAGCCCCTACACGACTTTTGCAGCCACGAAGCTGAGACCTCCAAGCTCTAAACCCCCAAGGCCTAAACACTTAGGCTTACACACCCAAGCCCGAAACCCTACATGGCCCCATCCCGAAATCCCTCAGAAACCCGAAGCCTGAACCCTCAAACGTCTCCACGCCTACACCCCAAAACCGCTCCAAATCCTACCCAAAACCCAAAGCCCGACACCCCCAGAATGCCACGACCCCAAACCCTAAACGGTAAACCCTACACCCTCAACCCCACACCCTACATTCTAAACCCGAAACCCTAAACCCTAAACTTTGCGAGCTTCCGTCGGGTGCAGCTGCTGCTCTGGGAGCTCTCGGAGTAAGGCTTCCGCAAGCTGCCATCCTCCGCACTCCAAACAGGCTGCGGGGCTTTTGGCCCGGATGTTCAGTGCAGGATAGTGTAGGGCTTAGGGTTTAGAGTTTATAACAGTGGTGCTTGTTCTTGTATCATATGGCGAGCACAGTGCCCTAAACCAGCTATGGGGGCTTTCTAGGGGGGGTTTACACCAAGGCCCTAAGAACCCCTTGAAGCTGAGGGTACATGGGTTAGGGGCCCTTATCGTGAGGATTATGCTGTTACTCCCTTAGCAGTTGAAAGCTAGCATTAGAGTTAGGGGTTGTTGCCTGAACAAGGTGGGGCTGTACAAGGCTGTCACAAAAAAGGGACCTTTAATCAGTGGGCCAGTGGTGAATATGACGTTTTCTCGACGGCTTACATTAAGGACCCCTTCAAGAATACTTTTGTTAGTTGGTAACTAAGTCTCGACCTTTTTTCGACTCAGGCAGCGGAGCTCACAGTCACATTCTGCCCACCCTGCTGGAGTCAAGAGACCAGCGCAGGGATAGCATTATCCTAAACCCAAAACCCTAAACCGTTGATGGGGCAGATAGGGTGTAGGTCCCCGCGAATCAAACTTCAAAGAGCTTGCTACATCTAGCCTTGAACTGCGCGATCACAACTTGAACCCGTATCGCTGAATCCTCAACTCGTTATACTGTAAACTGCTAGACCACCAGCCCTACAACCACAATTCTACAACCCTCGACGCAACACTCTGAAACCGTAAACTCGAAACCCTCAACGGAGATAAAACCCATATAGCACTCCTTTAAACACCCACAAAACCCAATCATCAGGTTGCATGCGAAGCTTCGTCCCGGACCCTCGCAGGAAGAGATTGCAGCGTTCAGGGAGATCACCTTGACCGCGACGCTTCTACAGTTTAGGTTCAAGGATTTCTTACAACACAACTGCTTAGGGTTTGGAAGTGTGGACTGAGAGTATTTGGTTGCGGAGTGGTTGGCTAGCGGGTGCACGGTGAAAGGACTGGGGATTTTCAGGTTTCGGGCTTAACTTAAGGCCAAAGGCTGAAGGTTCAAGGGGTGTATGAGGGGTTCAGGGGTGTCCGATAAAGGAACTTATCGATCTAAACCCTAAGGTAGTACGGCGTGGATACCTTGTTCTCTTCCTAACTGCATTCTAGGGTCCAGTTACCTGCATACAATATAGGGTTTAGAAGGAAGCAAAGATCGACCCAGGGGTCTTGTGCATAGCTGAAAGCTGCGGCATCCAAATCCAGAAAGGACCCGACAAAAGTGTTAGGGTCTGGGGCTTTGGGCTTGGGGTTCAGGGGTTTAGGGCTAGGGTTTCGGGTCTAAGGTTTACGTTTTAGGGTGCATGCTCTGCTAGTGGCAAAGTGAGTTTGCATCTTGCCCCGTGCATGGAGACTTGGCAGTGGCCTGACTAGGTTAGGTAGAACAGGGTTTGGAGACGTATCACGGCATACAAAAGAAATCCTAAACCCTAAACCCTAAACATTATCGGCATCCTTTCTGGCAGTCTGTGCAGATACTCATGTGCTTCACACTTGCTGGTAGGTACAGCTCCGGTGCAAAAAACAACAACAAACCCTGACTAAATCCACACTCTACACCCCCACCTCAACAACACAACGCCAAGCTGTCATTACTTTCGGAGCCTCTGTAAAAAAATGCCCTCACACCCAAGGCTGAGGTTCGAGCATCTTTCCTCACAAAGCTCTCATCCATCCTGTGGATCGATATGTGCTCACCCAAACACCTAGACACATGGATCCAGCGAGGTATTTCGGTATGGTTATGGTATGAGCTGCTCAGGCTGCGTATCTACATCTATCTGTTTACAAGAAAACTAACTCAATCATCTTCGTACTCCGTGCGATAGATCCGCAAATCGGTACCTTGCCTTCCTGTGACCTTTGTGTGCTTCGGGATTTTGGGGGCTTAGCAAGTGGGATTGTTGCTTCAACTGGGGTTCAACTTTTGATATAGCTTCAGTCGTCTGAATTGGTTGTCACCCCTCAGTGGAGTGATGGCTTGGTCCCTTATCGACATCCGACGTAGGCTTGAAGGCTCAGGGTTCGGGCCACCGAATCTACCCGGTAGGTCAGCCACCGTACATGCGGCAACATCTCAAACAGCAAAGAGGTGTGTCTGTGTGTGGGCGTGTGTCCATGTGTATGCATGAAAGGGTATGCTGTAAGGGTTGCCACAAGGGTTCTGCATGGGCTGTAAGGGTCGTTTAAGTGTTGAGGGGTTCGGTTCGAGAGCCTATGTATGATATACATACCCACTCATGTAAGCTAACTTTCTGGGCCGCACCCCCGGTCCCCAAGTATTGCCAACGCAGCAGTGTAGGGGCCTGTGTAGTTAGAACTGGGTGTTGGTGTGTAGTATACAGGAAACCCGATTTCCAAGAAATTTTAACCCCAGCCGGTCAAGCAGAAATCCCGGGGCCCTACCTGAGCTCGAATCCAAAGCCCTAGGACCCTAGACAGAAAATCTGAATTTCTATCACGCCGAAGTAGACGCCATCAGAAGTGCAACATCATTGTTTTTCAGGCGCTAAGAGAGGGGCCTCAAGAATTAGAATAGGTTTAGTGTTTGGTAGCGTATTATGATGTACTTAGTTAGGGACGATAAGAGGATAATATTCCGACACCTACATTAAGCCCCCAGTCTCTCAAGTACCAAGCAGCAGGTTTAAGATCTCCAGCGCCCTCTGCCATTCCAGGCCCCGACCGATCGCGCTAAGTGCCTGGCTACAGAGCTTACTGTGCCCTCGGAGCATTGGGGTGAGAATAGGGGCCTTGATAATTACAATAGGGTCTGAGGGGGGGCTTATTTTGGTATTGTTATAATACGTTAAAATAAGGGGCTGTGGGTAATATGCTGCTTTTAGGGTTGGGTTTGGGGCTTGGGAAGAAGGGCTTTAGACTGCAGGACTTTTCGAAAGGGGCACTTGGGCAAACAACAACGCTTACCCTACTTCCCGCTTCATAAGAAAAACCGAAAAAACCGAAGAAACCGAACAGGGCGTGCGTTCGAGAGGCCGCATTGTAGGTCACCGTGTTCGCATGAAGCCCTTCAGAGTCCAGTTGCGCCAACCTAGACTGCACTTAAAGGCACTCCAAGGGCTATTTGTGGTGTATACGATGTTGAATTTTAAGGGGGTTTGGGCTTTTTGTAGGGCTTGCAGGGTTGAGGGCTTACAGTAGGGGCTCTGGCCCCTAAACCCTAAATCCTAAACTTAGGGGCTTCGGCTTCTTAAGGGCTCTTGGGAGAGAGCCCCAAAACAACGAGGGCGAAACAAAGGTACCGCTGGGCAACCTGGCAACAGGTGCAGAGCTTGAGGCCACTGGTCGCCCTTCCTCAGCTTACTCATGTCGGCTTACGTTCCAGGATTGGGAGTTAGTTCTTGTTGCTGAGTGTCGTCCCTTTGTATTCCTGCCAGTCGAGAACGACAGAAGGAAGTGCTCACGCATCGGAATCTCAGCGAAACTTCGAACCCTAATTAAACCCTGAGCCCTAACAGAAAGGATATCTAGAACGATGACCCAGCTTCTCGCAGGCACTGATAGTCGCGCTGAACCTTGAATTCTGCGGCAAAGGTTTCCCGCTGAAGGGTTTGGGCTTAGGAAAACGCGCTGCATGTTGGGTTCGACCCCTTTTTCCGAAAACCGATGCCGCAACTCCCTCGCTTAATCCTTACACCTACAATGTACCAGCACCACAAACAAGGTAACGCCACGCGAAACGACCCGCGCGATAGCAAGGGTGCTCAGCTGTATTTTCGTTGCCTCTAGCTCCCGGATGGTCTCACCGCACACCCTCCCTCTAGAGAGCAGAAGCAAAGCAAAAGCAAACTAACTAGAGAGCTTATGGCAGCAGCAGTGGCCAGTGCTGCAGCAGCAGCGTAGCAAGGGTGGCAGCACAACATCTGGTTGTAAGGCCATACAGTACTGTAGAGGTGCAGCAGCAGTAGCAGCAGCAGCCTGGCAAGGGTGGTTAGTGCATCAGAACTAAAAGTACAACTAGTAGCACTGCTACTCGTAAGATTGCTCGGCAATGGACGTCTGAACCCCCTCCCCCAACCCCCCCCCCCCCCAACATCCCAGAAACAGACCAAAACAAGCTAA